ATGCGTGTTAAAAAACTAATACATGACCACCATGGTGAAATTGCCACCAGGTAGCCCCTAAAGGTATGTAGTAACCCAACGATTTAGCTTTCTACAAACGGTTGAAAAAGTGATTTATTAACTAGCTGTTTCAATGAGAAAAGTTAGTACATCCCTTTGCAAGCTCATGCTCCTTAGATACATTTACCTGTAGGATGTGTTAGTGTTGTGATCTTCATTAGAGCTTAACATCTGATTTCATGCTGCTCAAATACTAAACTAGTACCACAGGGCAGGCGCTGATTTATTTTTTCCGAACATCATAACTGAATGTTGAGAAATAACAAATAGCATGTTTGTCTGTCTTCTGACAGACTTGATTTTTACTAGCAATTTTGCTAGAACTTGTTACAAATAGATCAAAACAAGGTGTCATTCAGGTTTTCTCGGGATATCTGGAACTTGAATCATGCTCTCAATGTAATCCCAATTCAAAGTTTATAACAGGAGACTGATGCAGAAATTCTAGGGATCTCTAGAAATTTATGCAATTCAATCTGAGTGATACATCCTATATGCAAGGTAGATCATGGTGATCAAACTAAAGACTTTAGAAAAATGTAAAATCTCTGAAATTCCATAAAAATTAGGCTGTGTTTGGATGCTGGGAATTTGAGTGAAAGAAAATGAAAAATAGAGTGGAAAAGCTTAAATCAATTTTTTTCATAAGCCACCCGCATTGTTTGGGTTTCATTTTATATCTTATCTTTACTTCAATCCAAAGAAATAGGAGTGTGCATTCTGTTGGTTTGGTTAGTTTGGTTGCCATTTTTGTTAAACCAAATAAACTTAACTAAATATTTACCTATTGGAACCGACCAAACAATATGTAAAACCGGATCAAATCTAACAATAGGTATCATGCATCTATCTCGTAGCTGCATTACAAGATAGATGCTTGAGCAACGCCGGCCGATTTTGATTGTAGTTCTCAGTTCCCTTTTTCTGTGCTTAGCTTCCATTATTTTCTCAGCTTTTGTTTCTTGCGAGTGGCTAGTAGTAGGCAGCTAGCAACGTAGGTCTGCTAGTTCAACCTTTGCTTTCAGATAAATGTTGAATTAAGAATGAGTATAAACTATGAACTATTACATTACTATTTTGCTTTTCCTGTTTAGCCAGTTTTCTTCCCTAAAGTCTAATAAAAAATTGAAATCTAAAAACCTCTAATTTGAATCCAAAAAGCAAATCGTGATTTTATAAACCAAGCGGAATTGACCAAATAAGCTCAGTTTGGTTAGATTTTTTGGTTCTAACCAACAATGCACACTGTTACAGATAAGGCATCAGGGAAAGCATATAAATCAAAACTTTAAAATGAAATTATTAAAATAAACATAATGCGTCCCCATTCTACCTAAGTATAACTCGTGAAACTATTGGACGACAGGAAAAAATATATTATGAAATCAAGAGTGTGTTTTGTGATCATCATTTGGCTTGTGAGGATATGATTTGTCTGGTGGAAACACATTGCTGTAAGAGATGCGATTGTTACCCCTTTCTGCTTCAGACGTAAAGATTGGTGCCATAAATAATTATGCTAGATCCTGAAGTCATCCAAATTTTTGTAGGACTGAATACAAAGAAGAGGACGAATAATTGAAAAAAAATAGTAAAAGAAAGCAATATGAATGTTGAAGATAGAATTTAGTCAAACAATTTTTGTTTGTCATGATAATAGGAAAATTGATATAGATTTACTTGCAAATAGTAAAAGAAAGCAATATGAATGTTGAAGATATAATTGAGTCGAACAATTTTTGTTTGTCATGATAGGGTATAGGAAAATTGATGTAGATTTACTTGTCTCTTTCAGAATTAGAAGGTACCTATTAGTGTGATCATTATAGGGTTCTTGGTATCCTTCCATGGAAGAAAAGAAGCTTCCATATTTTCAACTGAAACTCTAAACAAAAAAGAAATAGGGTATAGGAAAATTGATGTAGATTTACTAGTCTCTTTCAGATTTAGAAGGTACCTATTAATGTGATCATTATAGGGTTCTTGGTATCCTTCCACGGAAACAAAAAGGAAATAGGGTATAGGAAAATTGATGTAGATTTACTAGTCTCTTTCAGAATTAGAAGGCACCTATTAATGTGATCATTATAGGGTTCTTGGTATCCTTCCACGGAAGAAAAGAAGCTTCCATATTTTCAACTGAAACTCTAAACAAAAAAAAAATAGGTATAGGAAAATTGATGTAGATTTACTAGTCTCTTTTCAGAATTAGAAGGCACTATTAATGTGATCATTATAGGGTTCTTGGTATCCTTCCACGGAAACAAAAAGGAAATAGGGTATAGGAAAATTGATGTAGATTTACTAGTCTCTTTCAGATTTAGAAGGTACCTATTAATGTGATCATTATAGGGTTCTTGGTATCCTTCCACGGAAACAAAAAGGAAATAGGGTATAGGAAAATTGATGTAGATTTACTAGTCTCTTTCAGAATTAGAAGGCACCTATTAATGTGATCATTATAGGGTTCTTGGTATCCTTCCACGGAAGAAAAGAAGCTTCCATATTTTCAACTGAAACTCTAAACAAAAAAAAAATAGGTATAGGAAAATTGATGTAGATTTACTAGTCTCTTTCAGAATTAGAAGGCACCTATTAATGTGATCATTATAGGGTTCTTGGTATCCTTCCACGGAAACAAAAAGGAAATAGGGTATAGGAAAATTGATGTAGATTTACTAGTCTCTTTCAGATTTAGAAGGTACCTATTAATGTGATCATTATAGGGTTCTTGGTATCCTTCCACGGAAGAAAAGAAGCTTCCATATTGTCAACTGCAACTCTAAACAAAAAGGTATTTTTCTATTTTGTTATTTATGAATTTACCTATTATACAAATTATATAGAATCTAATATATAATTCTTATGAATCTAGACAATTTTTTAAAGCTAAACATGATATTGCAAAATAAATAAATACAAGCATTAAAGCAAAATAATAATAATAATAATAATAATAACAATAAATAATGATAATGAACCTAATCTAAACCGAAAAAAAAGAAAGCTATAATTATTTTCACTCTCGCTCGTAGAGAAATTCCGTTGCGTTTTCTTTTCTCTCTAGTACTAATTGTTTCTATTCTTACTTATGAGCCTTCTACCATTTGTTATTGACAAACTATTGTACCTGTATATTGATTATGCAATTTTTTTGCTTCACTTGTGTTCCTAGTGCTCGTTTGCATATGTGATACCTCACGCGCATCTTGCTTGATACTCTTATTTGATGTGCCAGCCTTGTGTTTTATTTCAAGTTTTCAGTGCCGATGCTTCGCGACATCATTACCCAGTTCATCTTTCGTTTAGCCTTGCAACCTTTGTCCCTCTGGAAGCTCAGGCATTCCTCTTGCTTCTAACAAACTTTTGCTCTCCATCATGTGCCCATCATTTAGCTATATCGCTACCTTTAACTTTGAATTGTGATGAGATTACTTTTAAGTCCTTTGAAATGGAGCATTTTCTCTCTGCTTCTTCTCTTATATCATCGCCTATGCAGGGTTTGTTGATGGCTCTTGTACCTAGGGCTTCAATGGATATTCTCAGCAATTTGTTGTTACTTGTCCTTGCCAGCTAAACATATCTAAATGTTCTAGTGGTTGGTGAAAATCTTCTTGACTCTTCATATTGGATCTATTCAGATGCTGGTGTTCAGCTTTCAAGGCTTCCTCTTGATCATCTCATTAACTAACTTTTTGTTGTTTATTTATTATGATACAAATTCTTTTTAGCACGAATGGACTATTAAATTTCTTGGAAAAACCACCCTCCTTTTCTTAGAGATATATTTTTAATTTTCTGGGCTCCTTTTTTGTCCATTTTGCTTGAAAATTTTTCATTTGGTCTTTTGAGCTTGGAAATTTTTTGATACTTCATGTCCGATCTTCATTTGTTAGGAGATTATTAGTTTTCTTGATAAAGATCATATGCTTAGTAGATTATCTGTGGACATAGAGTATTTTAGACTTTGCTTGAATTGCCTGTAGAATGCATATATTAAGGTGGTCTCCATCCTTTAATACATCTGAGGAATCTCTCATTTACTTTATATGTATTTTTTTTTCTTTTATCTCCACGTCCACTATGTCAACAAATATGTACTATATTGTTTGAATAGATGGGGATGCTAATAGTAGAATTCAAGTTGGTTGGTTGAAGTGGAGGAATGCTTCGGGCCTTTTGTGCGATAGAAATGTTCCGCTTAGATTGAAGGGAAAATGTTATAAGATGGTGGTGAGACCTGCAATGCTCTATGGCACTGAATGTTGGCCTTTAAAAGAGGAGCAAAATACTATGTTAAGCATTGCGAGATGAGAATGATTAAGTGGATGAGTGGCTTACACTTAGAGGCAAATTAAGAAATGAATATATACATGATAGGGTTGGTGCGAGATGAGAATGATTAGGTGGATGAGTGGCTTACACCAAATTAAGACTTAGAGGCAAATTAAGAAATGAATATATACATGATAGGGTTGGTGCAGCTCCAGTGACGGACAATATTAGAGAGAGTCGTCTTAGATGATTTCGTCAACGGACAATATTAGAGAGAGTCGTCTTAGATGGTTTCGCCACATTAAATGAGAGTAGATGTTTTAGATTCGACTCATGTTAATAAAGGCAGAAGTAGACCTAGGAAGACTGGGGCTGACTTGGGCTTATTGTATAAAAAAATTATCTTAATTTATTAGAACTTAATGGAAACTAAATGGAAATATGACACTAAATAGGACACAATGGAGAAAAAAGATTCATATAGCACGTGGTCGGATGAAGGCTTTATTGTTATTGTTGTTGTTCTACTGTTTGTAATCAATTTGTGGGAAACCATTAGATGTTGATGCTGCTACCGCTAGAATCTCTTGGCTACATATGGCTCATATCCTTGTTGAGCTTAACATTTATATTCTTTTTCTTAGGAGGTTTGGATTGGCACTTCTTTATAGTGTCACTACGAGAAAGTGGAATTTGATGTCTTTTTCTATGGTTGCAACTTGTAAGTTTGTTGGTCCATGATTTTTTTCAATTGCTTCAAAGCCCATAGGAAATCATCTTTTATGGTTTTGTCTGCTATGTTTATCCCTTTTGATTACAATATTAACTTACAGAATAATTATGCTGTAAATTTTCATGATCAAGTGGTTCTTCTAATATATTTTGTGTTGCTATCTTTGCCTTCGTTCTCTTTGGTTGTTATCATGATCTAATTATTACTCTAGATTCACCTATTGATTTAGGGCCTTTGTTTGTTGTTGATGATTTGTTAATTTATAGCATCCCTCTACTCCTGTTTTGGAAGTTGGGCCTTGTGATTTATCTAGAGCCATACTTGGGTTAGAAATTGGCCAGCTTATTGAGGACCCTGCTGCTACCCTTACTTTTTCTTCTCCATGCAATACTTCAATTTTATTCATCAATGCTACACTAGATTATTTTGAAGTTGAGAATTATGATGATTTGTAGCTTGATTAAATCTCGAGAATCTATTAGAAGTTTTTTTTTTAGAATCTATTTGAAATTGGTTGTATGGATTTCAGTTTTTTGTTATCGAGGCACTAATTGGAAGTATGTCTTTCCTCATTCTCTGATATTTATTAGATTTAAATAAGATGTAGTAAATCCCTTGATGATTTTGACATTCTATAACTGTGTTTGAATGTTTGCATGATCTACTTTGCAAGGATAGCCATTTCTGTCTATGGTTTATATCAGATTTTTTTTCATTTTTTTCATTTTGATGATAGTCTTATGTATTTCAATTATCATGTATCTAATTCGTTGAATAGTCATAAAATTTCATTGATTTTGTTTTTAAGCTATATTTTGATGTATTGCTTCAGTGCCCGTGCTACAATGACAATTAAGTCTTCATGTACCAGGAATATATTATTTATAGTAAACCTTAGTAGTAAATTCCATATTGTTTCTTCTCATTATCCATTGTATGGTAATATTTGCCTTATCTAATTTATTTTGGGTCATATTTATGAGTCTTTAATTTTAATTTGTTTTTATTGAGTGCCTTATCTAATTTATTTTGGGTCATATTTATGAGACTTTAATTTTAATTTGCTTTTATTATTACCTGAAGTATTAAATTTTCTTTAAATGCTGCATGAACTCTTCCTCTTTGAATGATATGCATTTTACTTCTCCTGTTCAAATTTTCATTTGCATCCCTGGCGGCGATAAAAAGTGTGTGGTGGGTTGTTGTTGCCCGTAAAAAGCTGCCGGTCACCCGAATCGAAATCCCCGCGCCAAATCCCGTCGCCCGCTTCGGAAGGAGGTTTTAATTTACATATAGATTTAAGTTTAAAATCAAATATGAAAATCAAACTGACCCCATATTTTTTACAGTTTAAATGAAAGAACATTTTACCTCAAACCTTGTATCTATCTCGAGGGATAAACACAAGACTTGAGGGTGAGGCTTGATCGGATAAACTGAAAATATATGACGTCTGTTTGGTCTGCGAAACCGTTTTATTTGCCGACAAATTCCCCTATTTAATATGAAAAATTAAATAAGGTTTATTTTAAGCTGGGTTTAGAAAAATTTCCTATAAGGGCAAACCACTATAGTTAATTACATCTTAAATGACCGAAGCCACTTAAGAATACTCTTGATAAAAATTAGGAAAAATTATTTTGAAGGACTTAAAAAAGATAGGACTTTTCAACGAAATCGGACAAAGAAGTATGCAAAAGAGAATGATTCAAACTTGGAACATTTATTGTAGAATCCAAAGGAGGAAGAGCTAGGGGATGCCACAGGTTCAGAGGAGATCCTCGGTGGCTTCTCAATCTACTCTGTGGTTTGGCTTTAGTTTCGAGAAAAAATATTCAAGTGTTTTATCCTACTAATTTTATTTAATTAGGGCTTACATTTGTGTGAAACGATCACACAAATTGCCTGGAAGACGTGAGGATTTAGGTCGTAACGAACGACAACCTCAGAATCCTAAAACGAGTTAGGACTTAGATCGTACAACAGAGCTATACAAAGCCTAATGAAAAGGTTGAGGATTTATGTTGCACTAGACGAACAACCTCGAAATCCTATGGATTGTTATTTTAATTTCTAGGAAAGGAATGATTTAGTTGGGGAAGACATGTTCTGTTGTTGAAGATGGTCGTGCTGCCCACCGCGCTAGTTCCAAGCTCTTTGTCGTGACGAGTTTAAGTTTTCTAGGGTGTCCAGTTATGATGTCAAATCAAATACCCTATGATAATAGTCCTCTAAACATCCTATATGAAAAGAAGGCATGCTTAAGGCTATACAATATAAAATGTGCAGTACAAAACAACCAGTAGAAAGCACAATAAAAGAAACAGTATACATGCCATACATGACAGTAGCAGGTATAGTAGAAGGAACATTATAACATGCTATATTGAGCGGTAGCAGGTACAGTAAAAAAGAATTGTATAACATGCTGTACAGAATAGTAGCAGGTAGAAACATGAATAGTAAAACAGGAATAGTATAACATGTTGTATAGGAAGAACAGTAGCAGGTAGAAACAATAATAGTATAACATGTTGTACAGGACAATAGCAGGTATAAACAGGGAAATGAAGTGCTGTAAATGTAAAACAAACCTGTACACCCGTGAGATCCGCTGTTTCTTAAATATAGCAGGCTGAAATGCATCACAAAAGCAAAGTCTAGAAGAAACGTTGTCCAAAAAATTCGAAGAAAAGTGTAATAACGACTCATGACAGAAAACTCGAGAAAATCAACGAGAAAAACTCAAGAAAAAATCCTCAAAATTTCAGAGAAATCTCAAAGAAAAGAAAAGGAGCACGAGTGTTCTGTCCAAAGCTTCGATAAAACAAAAAGTTCAGGCAAAGGGGGACCGCAAGCACTCGTGTAGGGCTAGACTCTGTTCTAGATAAATGTATATATACTTGAAGGTCCACGAAGGCTACTCGGTCACCCGAATGTATAGAACTCGCCACTCGTCCAGAAGTATGTCCTGAACTTCACCTAGAGGGCTACTTCCCAGCCTAAACAGGTATTCGTCAGGGGGACAACCAGTTTTAAAATGTATTTTAAAATTTGTTTTTTTACATACACATAGAATAGGTCTCAAAAAAGAGATTATCAAATTTTTATTTTTTAGCGAAAAATATATTTTTATTTTTTTTTGAAATAAGTTTTAACAATTTTTATTGTCCACAAGTCGATTACGCTGTCGGGCGTGAGACTGCCAACCACCTGGGGAGGTTCAAGCCAACTCTCGTTAGACTTATGTGACCTTGCTTGATGGTTTCACGTATAGCAAAAGGCTATACGTAGACACTTATGCGTCGGACATAAGCGTTGAAAACCGAACCAAGAAGCAAGAAAAGAAAAGAACAAAAATGGGGTGAGAGAGAGGAGACATTGCTCCATCTAAAACATCGAAAATGAGAATATATCAGTTGAAAAGACCTGAAAAAGTAGGGCCTAAGGTTTTTCCTAACAAACATAAATGACTATTTTGCGCTGATTTTTCAAACCCCAAAGACATAGGATTAATCAAATCAACCAAATGCTCTCCCAAATAAGGCTTGCAAATCCTCCAAACCCCAAGTTGATATCTCCCAACTTCCAAATTAATCCATGGCCTCACACATCAAACAAACACGAAATTTTTCCAATGCACTGAGATGTAAGACCCACGACCTGTATCAGTAGAGAAAGGAAGACAACTACCAAGATCCTCGGCCCAAGTGAGGTAAAGCCAAGAAAATTCACGGGTAAAAGACAATATCAACACCATCTAGCTCCAGACCCGAATAAACTCCCATAGGTGACTCACGGCTAAGGCAAAACAAGGCCAATATAAAAGAGAGAAACCTACGGTTAGGACCACCCACGGTTGGGACTTAAAGAATGGAGGGACTCATGGCCACGACAAACAGGGCAGCCCAAACCAACTCTAAAGCATTGTAAGCAAGGCTCACAGCCAAGACCAAAGCCAAGGCACGAGGCAAAGGGAAAGGAAAGGCTCACGGCCTAGGCGAAGTCCAAGGCACAAGACAAGGTCCATGACTAAAGCAACTCGAATTCACTCCACAGGAACTCTGACATACGCAAGAGAGTGTAAAATACCCTCAATCTCTTTGGAATGACAGTTACTCTCCCCACGATCATCCAAACAGTTTATGCCCAAACAAGAGAAGCTAAAGTCCGAAGCTAAAGCCAGGTCCTCATAAAGCACAATCAGAACTCACCATAAAGCCAAAACCAGTTCCTTAAAGTTCCAATGAGAAGCTTAAATGTGTGTTAAGATAATAATAATACTTTTAACCAAAGCAAAAGCCAAGCTTCAATAAACCCAACATGCAAATCTTCCCAAAATAAGAAACCGAGCCACCAAAGCAAGAAAAAGGAAGAACCCCCAATAGGCAAGAACCGAGATTCAACACTAAACCAAAGCCAAACCAAGTTTTTCACCAAATTCCAGACCAGTTAAAGACCAAACTGAGCCAAACAAGGCCAAAACCCGAACCCAACAAGGGCTTAAAAGTCCAACTGCAACTGAGATTTAAAATTTAGGCCACAATGAGAGTTAGAAAAATATTATCATGCCTTTAAGGCATCTCAAAATAGAACTACCACATGCTTTGAGTGAAAGTGGATGAAAGCTTCATAATACATATACTAACATACTCATGAGAAGGGCCAAATTATTTCAAAATCATCATCTTAATTACTTCCAATATAAGTATGCCTTGGGAGATAGGAAACATGCCATAACATCAGCGCTTTAGATAAGCAAAGTAAAAGAAAGGACTAATAGCATGCCACATTGCTTAACCAAATCTAACTTCTAGCACCACACCACAAGATCATCATCAGAGGCTCGGCAAGGCCATAACTGAGAGCCAGTAAAGCATCGAGAAAGGGAGGGAGAAGGAAATACACACCAATCAAAAAAAGAGACTCAACAAAACTATAACCGAGAGCCAGTAAAGCACCGAGAAAGGGAGGGAGAAGGAAATACACACCCTCAAGCTTTTAAATGCCATTCCCACATAACAAATGTATAAAGAATAAGTTAGAACATGTTTAGGAATGAGGCAAATAGTAATCTTCCTATTCTAGCATGCTAACAGGGCTCGGCAGAGAACATGGACGAACACAAATAAAGCGTAGGAGCTCGGTAAAGAGCAGGGCCGAACACAGGCAACGCACAGGGGGAGAGGGAAGTACCTTTTTAATGTAGAATCACAAAAAGGAGTTGCAGAAAAGTATTCCCTAGCCAACACCTCTCTCCAGCAACATGGAGAGTTCAAAAAAAAAAACTTAAAGAGAGTAGAGAAGAGTAATAGAGAAAGGTCCTCCCCTGAAAATGATTTTCGGCCTCCTAGAAGCTTCACAGAGGAGCTCTCATATACGCTAAGGCCAGAGGAGACGAATGATTAGGGGATCGCATGCGGATCTTCGAAGGATCGAGAGAGACAAATGATATGATCCTCGCAGAGACCACGCTTTGCGGCAGGGAGGATCGAGAGCAGACGAGATAAGATACCCGCAGAGGATAGAATACGGGATGGGCGACTGCGAGAGGCGAATGCGTGTGAGAGGCGAACACGGGAATGAAATCTCCCAACGACACGAAGAAGGAGCGGGCCAGGCAATCGAATGAGCCATGCTAGGGCAGAGGTAGGCCCACAGATGCGAAAGAATGAGGCGGGGAGGTAGATAGATTTAGGTTAGGGATTTTAATATAAGTTATTAATTATAATAATAAAAAAAAATATTATTTATTATTATAATAAACACTTAAATAGGTGTTTTCCCCAAGACGCGCCGTCGCATTGAAACGAACGTCCCCCTAAGCAAAATCGATGTTCCAGACGTATCGACGCAGTCCGTTTCGTCGTCTGGAGTCGTCTGGGCAACATCGTCATCGATCGGGTTAAAAACGCGTCGCGGTCCGAATCCTATAAAAATTTCGGCTTGAATTCGATTAAACAGGACGACGAATCAACCAGTAAAGTCAATCCTAAGGCCGACAGTCCTATAGGAATGCTCCCTGAGTTCCTTCGGAGTAGCCTTACCTGCTAGGCAATAACGGTCAAGACTATCACAGGGAACGTCAAGTCGAGCGAAGAAAAGTCCGGAATTGTTAACGGGGAGGGCTCCTTCACTAGTTTTCTAGGAGTAGTCGGCAGAAAGGTCCTACGGCTAGATCCTAGGTTACTAAGGAGGGGAAAACTACACCTTGACCGAAAGCGGGTCAACAATCCCTCTCAAATGACCCTATATTATTGCGCATCAAACTACGTACTTCCTAACAAGGCATCTCACATTTTCCGAAGTAAAAAAATGAAAGAGCATGAATAAAATTTTCAAAAAAAAACAAAAAGAATGATATGCATTTTACTTCTCCTGTTCAAATTTTTATTTGCATCCCTCTCAAATGCCCTATATTATTGGGCATCAAACTGTGTACTTCATAACAAGGCATCTCACGTTTTCCGAAGTAAAAAAATGAAAGAGCATGAAGAAAATTTTCAAAAAAAGAAAAAGCATAATCATAGAATAAGTATATTTTGAAATATCCCCATGAAAAGGAAATAAAGATCATTATGGGGCCGTTAAAAAAAGTACCAACAAGTTCAAGAGGATTAAGAAAATCTTGAAATAATTTCAAGAGCCATGTTTAATACTCAGAACCTTCTCAGGACTATCTAAATTTGCACTCTTATTTTTCATAGGTGCAAATTATTGAAATACTTAAAATTTTCAAAACTATAAAGTAGGATATATTATGAGAAAGAATATGGAGTTTTCCAATGCTTGATCCTCCACTTATGAGTAGAGTTGATAGGGCACGTATCCCGCAACTTTTTAAATCTAGATCCCCAAATGTGTAGGGTAAAGTCAACAAACCTAGGCTTATACCCATCTAAGGCCTGATCCTGCACATTTGAAAGGTAGAGTCAGTAAGGCTCATAACCTGATATCTTTATAAGGCATGATCCTTGGCATGCAAAGATTAGAATCAAGAAGCTTTATCTGGGGCTTGATCTTGGCATGCAAAGATTAGAATCAAGAAGCTTTATCCGGGGCTTGATCCTCTATATGTAAAGGTTTGAATAGTACTCATTAATTAACACTTTTCTAAAGCCTTCTTGCGTGTTAGAATATTACTCATTAATTAACACTTTTCTAAAGCCTTGTTGCATGTTGCGTGTTAGAAAATTTTCAACGACAGAGAAATCTTAGGTCTTAATTCAGTATAGTTTTTCAACATACACAAATAAAAATATAAGAGAACCAGTTTTTTACTTGAAAAGATCCCAAAAAGGAAAAAATAATGGGTCTTGACCCGGTCAAAAGTAATCCACTAGAAAATTCTCGTAGAGTAAATTGTTTGGGCTTTCAATTGATGCATCAAAGCCTTTTACTATACTTTAAGTGTTTGATCTGGTCTTATATGGACTCGAATTGGATTGCTTTTGGACTTATTGGGTTTGCCTTATCGATGTTGTCAGTTTGACTGTAAACTTGTTAGAATTAGCGCGTAGATGATCATAAATTTTAATTCACAATATTTCTTGCTTAAAATGCATAGGGATTCATGTCTGATGATAAAAATTTCTTCATTACGTATCTTGCCTAATCCTTTATATATAAAGATTAGGTCATACCAAATCCTCCAAATTTAAAAGCATATAGTCATTGGGTCTTATGATCTAATCGCTTTATAGAAGCTTGATTCTCTATATTTAAACGGCAGAGTCAACAAAGTTTGTAACCAACTACTTTTAAAATCTAAGAATTTGTACATATCTATCGATCTGACATGATAATGAAAAGAATTCTTGGGTACTTTACCACAAAACATGGTTGCACTTCTACAAAAGGGTAGTGTTTCAAATGCAATGTCCCCACTTCTCAAACATTCCACTGTTGGCTTTCTCTCCACAAGACTTATCCGTTATTAATGTATTCTCTTATTCTCCTAATTTGATTGTCTTAAAGGATTTTGGCTTTGAGTTCAAAATTAAGTCTCAAAGTTTACGGTTTATTTGATTATTTTTGGAATTGTGGAATGGAGGAGTTTTTTCTTAGATTTGTTGAAGGGATGGGAGGGATTTTTTTCCCTGGTAGGTGGTAAGGTTGGATGTGGATGGTGTGGGCTTTTGATTTTAAAGGATGTTAAAGATAATGGTGAAGGGAGATTGAGTTGAGTTAGGATTTATCTTTAGAATTTAAACTCTCATACCAAATTCATGAAAATCTTAGATGTTTTGATCTGTTCTTGATTCTTTTATTCTGTCTCCTAAAACTTGTTTGATTTATGCTAGAATTGAAGAGAGGAATGCGCCTAAGATTGGAAGGAAACCAAGGAAGAGAGGGCTCATTCTTTTACATTTACCATAAAAGTGAAAAATAAACCTTGATATGTGTGCCTTCCTATATGAATCCTTTTTCTCCATTGCGTCTTATTTAGTGTCATATTTTCATCTAGTTCTAATAAATTAAGATCATTTTTTATACAATAAGCCCAAGTCTTCCTAGATCTACCTTTCATTTAGTTCTAATAAATTAAGATCATTTTTTATGCCCAAGTCTTCAGTCTTCCTAGATCTACCTTTGCCTTTCTTAACATAAGTCGAATCTAAAACGTCATGATAATAAAAAAATTGCTTCATTCAATGTTTATAAAAATAAGATTTATTTTTCAAATTAAAAATTAAGCATATATTCTGATCCAAATTCAAACCTATTCCTTGCATCTAATTGAAGTTTAAAAGCAGGATTATCTCAAAAGAATACAGTCTAATTGATTAAAATAAAAGTGAACCTGATAAACAAATGCAATAAAAATTCATTACTCAGTCTATTCCAATCTGGATTTGGGTTTAGTCACTATTGTTGATTTGAATCCTTGAATCCATCTCCTGCCACAGAATCTAGCAGACTTTCATTTTTCCCAAGCTGGTGACTTTTTTATTTATTTTGCTTTACATCGCTATAAAAAATCTCAAAATTCTGACGTGGTTATATTTACACGTGAATTTTGATTTCCATTAACTAACAAAGAGAAACACTCCACCCGTTGGTATTTGACATCTTCAATTAATCTTATAGGCCCTCAATTATCTTCAAAGGAGCCGAGGAATTCAAAGGACGAAAGAACTAGCCCAAGAACATGCCAAGCAAGCTGCAATGGCAGTACAAGCTCTTCCTCCTAGTGAAGACCAGACTGTCCAAGTCTCTAGGCGTGCTCTCGTTGATCTCACCCAGAGAGTCATTTCGAGAACAAAGTGAAAAAGGTTATGTATTTTTTTATTATATTCATATTTATCATGTCATATTTAAAAAATAAAACTTAATTATTCGTATTGTTATTCCTTTTTAATGTTTTACAATGATACAAATTGTTGCCTCTTAAATATTGTATTTGTCTGCTTTATAATTAGAAGCCCCAAATTGTATCTCCGGGAAATTTTGAATTGATATTATCTCATTTTCTTAACTAATTATTTCCTGTTAATTTTCATGGGAGTTGATTTATTGTAATGTTAAAAAAACCTTGAAAAAACAAAAATTAAAGGGATTGATAAAATATTAGAAAGACAAAGTTGTCAAATAGGATTTTAAAAATTGTTCACTATAATTTGCTTCAATTATGTTTCATATCTTGTGTCACATGCTTAACTAGGACCTAAGGTAAACAGACTTAAAATTCATAAAGCCGGGATAAGACTAATTATTATAATGACGCCCTTCGGGCGCCAAGAATTTGCTACTTTGATCTTAGTTTTCATGAAAATTTTTTTTTGACTTTTTTTTTTATTTTTTTTTTTTTTTTGGGCGGAATCCAAAAATAAAGGGGCAATTACATACAGAACAACCGAAACTTGTTATTTACAAACCAACAACTCTTTCATTCATTTTTAAAATTCTCAAATTCTCACTACAATATCAAAATTTATCATAAAACTCCAACCTTTTTTTTTTTTTTCATTTTATCAAATTCTCAATAGTTGGATCATGACATGCATAAATACATCAGCTCAGTAGTTCAAAAAAATCACATGGGTGGTTAATTTGTAAATATCAATGTTTTTGGTGGTTAGTAGGTAATTATCCCGTCCTCTTTTTCACATTTTGCAGTCTTTAATTTAAAATTGATTTGATTTTTTTTGCTTTGGTTCTTTGTGGTGATATAGATGGGGATGTTAATAGTATAATTCAAGTTGGTTGGTTGAAGTGGAGGAATGCTTCGGGCCTTTTGTGTGAGAAAATACTGCTTGGATTGAAAGGAAAATTTTATAAGACGGTGGTGAGACCTGCAATACTTTATGGTGCTAAATGTTGGCCTTTAAAAGCGAAGCATAATATTAAGTTAAGTGTTGCCGAGATGAGAATGATTAGGTGGATGAGTGGCTTTACACTTAGAGACAAAATGCGAAATGAATATATCTGTGATAGGGTCGGTGTAGCTCCAGTGAAGGATAAAATTAGAGAAAGTCGTCTTAGATGGTTTGATCACATTAAGCGTCGACTATCTGATGATCCGATTAGGAGAGTAGATGTTTTAGATTCGAATTATATTAAGAAAGGGAAAGGCAGACCTAGGAAGACTTGGGATGATCTTAATTTATTAGAACTAAATGAAAATATGACACTAAATAGGACATAATGGAGAAAAAGGATTCATGTAGCCAACCCCACATAGTGGGATTAAAGCTTTGTTGTTGTTGTTGTTGTTGTGGTTCTTTGTAGTGTTTTTTGTTCATCAAGTTGAGGTTAGAAACAATATTTCAGGGGGTTTATTAAGTTCTTAACCTTAGAAACAATAAGTAAATTTAGCTTATGTATGTGGTGGTGGTGTATGTCCCTTATTTCTTTTCATGTTTCTGGTATAATCTGCAATTTAATGCCTTAGGTGCCTTAGGTTATCATAATAAATTGTATCGTTTATTTAAATATGGTTTGGAATCAACATGAGTTTTAATTTCTACAAACACCTTAAAACGTATAAATGTAGTTTATTGGTAAAATTGAAATCTTCACTTTAAAATGAGATTCCTTTCCACAAGTAATCAAACCAAACCAAAGGAAATTCATAAGATAATAGTGGTATTTATATTAAGGGAATCTCAAAATGAATCATATTCAGGATTGGGTATGGAATATGCTAAAGAAAGAATGCAAACATTGAGATACCTATATTGGACTGGATATAATGTTAGCATCATTGCAGCAGGTTTATTTATTTGAATTTTTGGAATGAGTGTGCTCATTATTTAAGAACTTGGTGATTGATTTATAAGTTGAGAAATTATTAATATTTTGAGATAAATTATTAAGGAAGTTCAATTAAATTGCATTTATTTTGATAAAACTTGACCTTAAATGAGATAGTTCTATTTAAAAAAAATTTTGTGACTAAAGCAAAAAGATATGGGCTTAAAGCCAATCCATGACATAATCCAACTAAAATAGGAAAATATTTGGTCAATCCTTCTTAAGTTCAAACACAAGTAGCAACTCTAGTCTTCATATCTTTAATGAGTTGAATATAAGCCATATCAGTACCTTTCTTTTCTAGAACTCTCCAAAGAACTTCTCTTGAAATCATATCGGCTTTTTCTAAATCAATAAAAATCATATGTAGATCCTCCTTACTCTCTCTGTACTTCTCCATCAACCTCTCAATAAATGTATAGCTTCCATGATAGACTTGCCCGATATAAATCCAAACTAATTATGAGAAATCTTTGTATCACGTCTTAATCTATATTCAATTACCCTCTCATAATTAAAAAATATGAAACATTAACTTAAATCCTATATAATTTGTACATTCTTGATTATCTGCTTTATTCGTAAAAATGGTGACCAAAATACTATTCTGCCACTCAATCATTTTTTTAGTTTATAAAATAATTTTAAAGAGATTAATAAGCCAAAAAACTCGCAAATCTTCTAGATATTTCCACACTTCAATTGGGATATCATCTGGTCCTACTGATTTTTCACCATAATACAACAGTAAAAATAAGAGGATTTATTATTATTAACAATATTAAAATCACTAAAGTCGATCGTATTTTCAAAAATTTTATTAAAAAGCTTATTAAAATAGCTCACCCAACTATGTTAAATATCTTCCTCTTAGAAAAATATATTTTGATTTTCATCCTTAATATACTTTATTTGAATTAAATTTTTACTTTTCTTTTTGTTTTGTTAGTTCATACTAATATTTTTCACCTTCTTTAGTATCTAATTTATTATAAAGATCACTAAAAGTAGAATTTTTATCATCACAAATTGTTCTCTTACTCTTTAGGGGCAACCTTATATTTTTTTCAGTATCTAAGTTTTTACATTTAAACCAATTTTTATAATACGATTTCTTATATTTTATCTTTTCTTGTACAATATTATTCCACCACCATCAATTTTTATTTATAAAAAAATTTTCTTTTGATTCTCCATGTATAAAAAATGATCTTAATTTATTAGAACTAAATGAAAATATAACACTAAATAGGACGCAATGGAGAAAAAAGATTCATGTAGTTGACCCCACATATTGGGATTAAGACTTTGTTGTTGTTGTTGTATTCTTCAAGTATATCTTTTGTCACTTGCTTAATAGTGTTTGTTACTTTATCTCACATATATTAGCTTATTCATTGGCATCTTAAATCTTGAAATATTGAAGTTTACTCATTAAAATAATTTTATTTGTTTTTTAGGTGCCCCTATCTAATTCTATGACAATATTTTATTGTGTTTTTTATCTTACAACTCTTCATCTTAAAATCCAGAACTAATAATCGATGTTGAGTATTCAAATTTTCATTTAGATTTACCTCGCAATCTTTACATTCTTGACAATCTCTTTTTGTCATAAGAAGATGATCAATTTAGACTCAAATGTAGACCTCCATAATTCAAGTTTTTATCTGGATATCATCAACGAAAAGCATACACCAAGTTACATCCTCCTGTAAACTTCTAGTAAAGAGCATCTATCAATAAAGCAAAAAGATATGGGTTTAAAGCCGATCATAGATTTAATCCAACTGAAATAGGAAAATACTTGGTCAATCCTCTTGTTCGAACACAAGTAACAACTCTAGTATATATATCTTTCTTTAATGACTTGAATATAAGTCATATCGAAACTTTTCTTCTCTAGAACTCTTCAAAATACTCCTCCTAGAACTTTATCATAAGCTTTTTCTAAATCAATAAAAATCAATGTAGATCCTCATTCTCAAAGCACTTCTCCATCAAACATCTCAATAATTGTATGGCTTCCATAGTAAACCTGCGCTGCATAAATCCAAACCGATTATGAGAAATGTTTGTATCACGTTTTAACATAAAACATTATAAGAAATCACTTCTTATAAAATACAAAATATTATTTTTTAAACATTTTCTAATACTTTAAAGATAAAATCTTCAAATTTAATGTATTTTGAGTTATTTTTTGCTATTATTTTTTTTAAACAAGCCATTTCACAACCTAACGAGTCGAGTGGGAGCTAGATTGAGCTTGGCTTGTTAGCCCATCGAACTCAGTTCACGAGCCGGCTCACATGCCGTCTTGACTCACATACCTAGCTTCAGTCATCTTTTCCTGTTAAAAATGGGATCTGTTTTTCATAACATTACTCTGTTAAGTAATCATCACACTTGTTTTATTATAATTTTCTTATTTCTTCTTAGAAATTGTTGCAGTGAGAATGCCCTTTTCATCAGAAGTTTTATTTGGATGTGATAACAACAGCAATGTTACTCTAATTTTTCCTGGAATAAAAAACCTATAATAGATAATATAATTTTCTTATACTAATATTACAACTAGTTTTATTGTTAGTTGTAACTGTTTAGATTATTTTTACTACATCGCAGAGATTATTTTGGGGTTATTGGAGTTGAATCGTGGAGGTTATTTTGGATTATTTTGGGGTTATTGAAGAGAAACACATATTTCACTTTAATAACCCCGAAATAACATCCGCGGTGTTATTTCGGGATTATTGAAGTGTAATATATGAGTTTCTCTTCAATAACCCGAAATAATCTTCGTTGTTCCACTTCAGTAATCCTGAAATAACATTTGCAATGTTGCACATGTGGCGGCATATTATTGCAGTCCGCACGAAGAGCTACGTTGGGAGTCCGGACAAAAATTTTTTCCTTCTGGGTGAGGGTATTTTTCTTTTTTATCATATTTTCAATAGTTTAATCTTGGCATATATAATTACATCGGTTCAGTAGTTCAAAAAAATTATTCAGATGATTAATTTGTAAATATTAATAATTATGGTGGTATGTATGTAGTTATCTCAAAAAAATTGATCAGCTATTCTTCTGTAGGCCTCAAAATTTTTTAAAACAAAAATTTATCTCGTATTTTATATTCTTATTTTTTTAAGAAACAAGTAACCGAATGAGAATTAGGAATT